TTTTTTTAAATCAAAAAACACATACAACTAATCCAGGCTGCAACAGTCCCCTCCTTTCCAACATTGTCATTTATCCTGTGAGAGGCATGAAGACATGGAGCAGTCAGAGTCATGGCTGACTCACTGCAGGCTGGAAGGTTCATTGCTGTTTGCTTGAATTTGACCCATGTCTTTCTCTTTAACCCTGCCTCACGCACACATAAACATGAACTACATGCACACACACACTGGCTGTGGGGAAGTCTCAGAAGGCAGGTGGTGAAAAGGCTTCCATTTGTTTGGCATTGAATTATTCAATCTGTGATCAGTTAGAATTTGGCCTCACAGAGGCAGGGCTCGGGGAATTCCTCTGTTGCTCTGGACTGCAACTTATTGTATTTGTTTCCTCTCTGCCGAGGAAGATGTCAAGGCGGAGAAAAGCTCAGAGGGGTTCTGGATGCCTGAACATCTTATGTGGGTCAAAAATGTTGAAGCTGTTGTCTAACATAAACCAAAGATGCTCATCTGCAGACGGTTGAAAAGCTGCAACAGCCAACTTTCATGGATAAACAGTCAGTAATGTTGTGGTGCCTCCAGGTCTTATTTCTGGCCTGAACAAAAAGAAGACTATCTGAGTTAGAATTTTTTTCTGAGCTTCTTTTAACCAACAGTTTTGGGATAATTTAAAAACGTCTGCTTGAATGAAATGTTTACACTGTAAAAAGAGGCAGTGTGCATTAAAATTCTGTTACTTTATTGTGGAAAATATCAAGCGATTTGTTATGCTTTAATAAAGGTTTTTTTTTCCAAATGTGTTTTAGCAGCGTAAACTAAACTAAAAAATATGTTTGTGAGCTGTAAATAAGCTGAATAAAACATGTCAGCCTCAAAGTTAGTCAAAAATACCACAAATATCTCATTTGACAGGTCATGCAAAAACCACTTTTTTAGCCTTTAAACACATTTTGTTGTACTTGGAGTCTCTAGGAGTGCAGAAAGTTTTAATTTAGTCTCTCTCTGTGCTGCATAGATGTCTTTCTATTCTGTTTGGGTCATATATTTCAGCCCGTTCAGTGTTCTCTATTTTCTTTGAGGTTTTCTGAACTATTACGTCAAAGTATTTCTGACGGAACTACAAAATAAGTTCTGGACTTTCCAACTACAATTTGTTTGTCTTCATTCTCCTCTGGCTCTGGGTCAGACTCTGGCTTCAACATGTAAGGCTGGATGGACAAGTTTTCTGTTGTTGATATCTTTTAGTTAATTTTGCTTTGTTTTTTAATGGATTTTTGTTGTTTTATGAATGAACTAAATGAATAAATTAAATGGAATGAAACTAATTTGTATGTAAAAAAATTTTGTGCCGCTGTATAGCCATAAACCCTTCTATCAAAGTACATTGGACTGGTCTGGGAGCTGGAGGGGAATGTAGTTTGAAGCACCACTTTTGGATTTAAAGAGACAGTCTCAAAACGAGTTGATCCGAGACACACCTCAGGAAAGCAGTAAAAGAGGGGCTTGTGGAGTTACAATAAGGAGGAATTCAGACCAAATCATTGCAGTTCCACTTTATATAGACCCCAGTTGAATGATTTAAATGTGAAAAAGAAGGATTTCAAATGTCTCTTTTAAAGCTTGTAGCTAATTCCAGACTGATATTGTTTTGTGCTGCTCACACTTTGAGCTGAAAAGATGTGGGATATGTAGAATGTTGCCCTCTGATCTGTGAGTGTTGATGAACTCTTGGAATAATTTACCTCAAATGTACAGTTCAGAAAATACAGGAAAATGTATTTTTCTGGTAGATTTTGGTGAGTCAGAAATGTCTTTTCCCAATATGTGATAAAGCTCAGTTGTCCAAGCTTTTGGCCTGCCTTGAACACAACATATATCTGTTGCAGGAAGAAGGATTCAAAAGTCACATTCACACGTAAGTAGATCTGCACATTCGTGCAAATCTTGCATGCTCAAATTTTGTGCTCAAATCTTTTTTGAGACTCATTTGTCTCCATAGAAACAGTTCTGTTTCCACCTTACAGTAAGAGGAGAAAGATGATGTGAATAAGGAAGGCCAAGGAGCATAATCTCTGATGAGATCCAAGCCACTTTAGTTGACCATGTGGTCATTGCCTAGTTTGTTGTAGTTTTTACTGTAACAGTAATTTCTTCTGTTGTTTTGTTAGTGGACCACTGTTCCTTTTGACTTTGTGTTGGTTGAAACGTGCACTGTGTTCTTTTTGTATTGAAAAATAAAATATGTTGTTTCTGTGTGTTTTTGTGTTCTGGATATAAAAACAAGATCCTAAAATATTTTACAACACACTCATGTATGCAGGCTACTGCCTACAGTACAGTTATACAGTTTCTCATAGGATGTCAGACACAGGTGTAAGGTTTCAGAATCAGAATCAGTTTTATTCCCATTGTCAATGAACAGGATTCACAGACTAGAAATTTGCTTTGGTGCTAAGGTTCAATACGTATAAAATTTAACAAATAAAAAAAATACAAATAAAGGAAAATATAATAATTCAGAGGTGGGTGGAGCCTCTCGCAGCAGCTTTAACATTTATTTTGATTTTGGTTTTTTTCACAATTTTAAATCAGTTTAAATCATCAAAACACAGGTTGTCAAAACCTAGATTATTACAAAATAAGTTCTACTGGGCTTTATAGAAAAAAGTTAGATGTCAAATTATTTTTGGTGTCATATTTGTAACCAACTCAGTAAACATGTTTCCATCTAATTTTAATGTGCATTTTCAGCAAATTTTTTAAATGTTTCCAAAAAACATAAACACATCAAACGTGTTTCCATCAACTGGCTTGGAGCGAATTAAAGTGTAGTTATATCAGACGCTGACTTTACACATGGCAGTAGTAAACAGGAAGCAACATCGCAAATTTGCAGGGTCCACACATCTTGGGACAATGGAGAGAATTTATCAGGAATGTGTTGCTACTATCGGGAAAGTTGTATTTATTCTGTCTTACCAACTAGTATCGGCCATAATACATGCTGTCTGGAAACCTAGAAAAAGAAATGCAATTCTCTTCACGTTATGAGAATATTCTGGGAAGTGTCCAGCTGCATCTGCAGCTACTACAATTATAACGCCTTTCTTCTGTCAATCAATCCCAGAGCTAATCCACAGGCAGAATTCTGTTGACGTCAAAATCGTAAGCATGCTGTACTTGTGCCTACCCACTTAGAACCAAGGAAGTTCTGAAACAGCATGGTTGAGCATACTTAGAACCTAATGAAGATGCATTCGTAGTGGCGGATCAAGAATTTTTCAGTGTAAGGGGCCATCAAGGGGCCACAATATTCATAGAGTGGCCAAGTATTTGTTCAACATCCTTGCACACAAATCCCCAGTTTTTGTAAGATTTATACATTTAATCAGTCGCATGTGTTCAAACACTTGTAAAAACTTGCAGAGTAAATACTCTTTATCAATTATACATTATTTTTTTTTACTGTACAATAAAATAATCTCAAACACACAACGTGAGAAAATCTAGCCATCGTTGTAAAAAACCTTTTTCTGCAGGATTGTTCAAATTGAAAAAGACTTTTGTAAGCTTGCTTCATGCTGGACTTTCCTATTTGACTCACTGGCACCACTAGCAATTGGAAGTGGAACTGCAGCCACCATCATTGTTCTTGGGCAAAGACAGAAGAGTGACAGGACAGGGGCACTTCAGGGGGCCAATCAGATTCCAGCTGGGGCCAATGCCCCTGTGGCGCTGCCCCTAGAACCGCCCCTGTGCATTCGGCCGATGCTGATCCAAACTGCATACAAGCACACTGGTGGAGATGGAGCTTTGTTGGACAGTGGGAACAGCTGATCGACATGTTCGCTATGTCCGAACTTATTCGGCAAATGTGTTTCCATCTCCCCTTTGGCGCATTAACTTTTTTTTTGTGAAAAATCCAAAAACACATCTTTTCAAATTAGCCTACCACTGTTAACTCCTGTTTTCAATATATGTCTGTTTTTGTTGTCCACACTTCTATGTTTCTCCCCCCCCCCACAACCACATTGTTCAATTTGTCTACATTTTTGTATTTTATTATGACTGTTCTGTACTCCGCATTTCTGTTTCTCCCACACTTATGTAAATATATGAATCTACATTTTTTATTTTTCTATTGTACAGTGTCCTTGCGTGTCCTGAAAGGTGCTTTATAAATAAAATGCATTAT